GAGGGGGAATCACCGTCTTCGCGCACTTCAACTGAAAGGGACAGAAGAAGACGAACAGATAGCGTTCGGACGCTAGGCACCCTAACTCTCAAAACTCGCGCCCTTATCTATTCAAACAATCGTTCCTGTCTGCCTGCTACAGTCGGCGTGTCGTGATAATTGGGTTCAGGGGGCGAGGAGGAGGGGCGGCATAGGCTGGGAGTGCGTCGTGTACCTTGTGCACCCACCCTGGCATCAGGAGGTTGGAGCGACGTTGGGGTCGGCGTCGGCCACGGAAGACGGAGCGCCTGTGTCAGAGTCTTCTGACAGCATAGCACTGGATTGGCTAGCCGTATAGCCACTGCCTCAGCTGTAGCTAGCACCCGTTGGCGTAGGCCTTTGGAGAAGCCTGCTGGTGTCCGGTAGACAATCTGAAAGGCGTCTTTGGCATCGACTCGGTGATTCGTATCGACAAGATGTGCGAGAATAGAACTCGAGATCGATTTCTTCTCACCTTTGCCTAGCCAGGCCGGTATGTGTTCACGTACTCTCTTTTCCAAACGCCTCGTTGTACGGCCGATGTAGCCCGCTCCACAGGAGCAAGTGAATGAATAAATACACATTGATGTGGCCTGCAACGGGAGTCGGTCTTTACCTCCCAAGCGTAGGAGGGGAGAGTTAGTGAAACACACACGTAAGTTCGCCGCGGGGAAAGCGCTAATGATCGCTGTCTTCAGACGTCTTTTTACCAGTTCACTTGCTGCGTCTCCTTGAAAAGGCAATCTTATAAATAAGTTCTTCTTTTCTGCAGTTGCCATGGTAGGTTTTGCAGTGCGCTCCCCTATATTTCGAAGGATGAATCTTTCTGGATATCCGTTTTCGTGGAGTGTATCCCGCAGCTGCTGGAGTTCTGCCTCCACAGTCTCAGGAGAGCAGATACGTCGCACTCTGGCTGCCAATCCCTGGACTAGATTTCGTTTGATGTTGAGGGGAACAAAACTGTGAAAGTTAATGTATTGTTCCGTCCAGGTTTTCTTTCGGAATACTCTACGTTGGATAGACCCATCCTCTTGTCTGTGCAGAAGAACGTCGAGGAACGCGATTTCATTGTTTGCCTCAAACTCTGCAGAGAATGTTAGCGAGGGGTGTGAATTGTTGAATTTTTGAATCAGGACGTCTGTGTCGGTGGTAACATCCGTCAGGCAGAAAATATCGTCTACGTACCGACCGTAGAAGCTGAGGTCATTAATGGTGTCTTGTAAACTTGTCATCTCGACTTTGCCCATGAAGACATTTGCGAGGAATGGGCCGAGCGGTGAGCCCATCGCTACGCCGTCTATTTGCCTGTAATTTTGTGTTTTGTCGCGAACCCTCTTTACCTATAGACTGTCTGAAACCCTTGTCCTCCTCCAAACCTCCCTCTGTAAACCACATTTTTCCCCTGACCGCATAGTTGTCGAGTTTCGGAAAGTCGTTGTATCGAAATCCAATGATTACATGAACCAACTCATTCGTATGGGTTTCGCAGTGCCCACTCATTTATATGATAGGACATGGGAGCGGTTGACTGCCTTGTCTATCTTAGTTCCTCTGTGCCTCCGACTCGTGCCCCTAAAACGGGCCACGTGATTGATGCGCTGGACCAACGCAGGAACTAGATCGGCTTTCGGCAGGCCTTATCGACAATGCGCATCCTTAACAAATGCTAACATTGGGGGTGTGGCGGCAGGCCTAGTTGCAGGCGCACACCGTGGCAAATGGGATCCGTCCCGATCCCACTTTTTTCTCGGAGTGTAAAGCCCTGGTCAGTGTATGTTGTGGATCTGGTGTGGTGGCACGCCTAGGTGCGGGTCTTCGCTGTGCCAGCCACGTGCGCCCTCTCCCGCCTCCGGTCTCCTTCACTATGTTTTGCCATCAGATCTAGGTGGGAAAGGAGAGTGCGGTAGGTGCAGCGCATGTTTGCTATCACGATAAGCTAATTCACGTGCAAGACACCGTCCCTGCTCTCACTCTGCTTTGGAGAACACGATGTACATCATCGGCAACGACGGTTAAACTGTCATGGCTCCAACTGGAGAACTTTCAGGAGTAGATTTTCGCATGTGACCTGAATCGCCATATCCTGTCGCCTCAACTGTTGTTTGCGCTCGCATTACGAGATTCATCTGAGGCCCTAGTAAACTGTCAATCGGGTGCCTGCTTGGCCTAGGTAATGATTACCTCACACATCCCATAGGGGTG